AGTGATCCACAGGAACAAACATAAACCCAGACATCGACCGCCAAGTATCCCCAAACTGCGCTCATGTCCACTGTTTCGTTGACAAGTCAGCACAAGTTGCCAGACTTGCTCAATCACGGTGCCTCTTTTTGTTCGAGTATCGCGAGAACTTTCTGAAACGTGTCCCGTATCGGTTTGGACACAAACGAATGCCAGCCGTAGAGGTTTGGGGTGCCGCTTGTTCATCCAACAGCTCCGGACCTCGCGAGTTTGGGCCAGAAGTGTCTCATTTGCTGCCTTCCGGGTGTCCACGCAGCAAACACTCAGGGTTTGGTGAGCAGTGCCAAAGACCGAGGTACTTATCGGAGTTTCGTTTAAGGGTACCCTCCTGAAGGTTGGTTTGAAGGCAACCAAAAGGACAATTTGTTGGGCCCCCCTTTGACAAATACTCCCTTTGATACATTGGGCGCTGCTTGGGTGTTTTGGTTGCAAAGGATTTACTCTGGCTCAGGTCAGACTACATCCACAGGCACCTCCGGCACTTTGATAACATTCAATGACCTTCTGATTTTGATCGGGATAGCCAAGCAAAAAACATACCCAACTCACAGAGAGCAACAAAACATTCACTGGGGCAGATCAAGTTGGCTCTTAGGTGCGTCGACGTTCTGTCTGGAGCATGCCCGAAACAGGGGCGTGTTAAGGTTTAAGGGAATCAAGGAGCAAAAGGCAATGAACAAGGCGTCCCCGTTTGGAGACAAGCACGAATTAGCTACCGACAGGCCGTGCTCGTTCATGTCAAAACAGGCTGTCACGCATTCGCACCAATGCGCCGTGCCCTGAGCCACCGGACAGCAGAAGGAGCACCGCTGACGCCGCCGGTTCATGAAGTAATCCTCGCAGTGTTGGAGACCCAACGAACAGCAGAAGCGGGTGTGGCTCCAAATCAAGGACCCATGCCACCCACAGCCACAGAAGATCGTCTCAGAATGGCTCTTAAGCCCTTTCTGGTGACATCTGGTGACTAGCAGGCAAACGAAGACAACGCCAGCCGTCCTGCCACAAATCTCGGCCAAACTTTGACCGACTCGCAAAGGAACTTGTTTCTGGTTGGAAGCAACATGAAGGGAAGCCAAACAGGCAAAGAATAGAAAGGTCAGAGTCTGGCAATGAAACATAGTGTTCAGAATGATCACCCTTATGCCGTCTGTTTGAGAGAACCTGGCACGCGCCGGGGGGGGGGGGGGGGGGCGAGCGCGGGGGGTGGGCGCGCGCGGGGGGAGGGGGGGGGGGGGCGCCGGGGGGCCTGGCATTTCCAACACCGCTCAAAACAAGAGGTAGTCTAGGACTGGCGCCTGTCACTCGTATTTTGGCACCGTGGGTGGGGGGCATGTAAGCCAAAGGCCAAAGGATTAACACTACTCTCTCTTTGTTCATTGGCTCATACTGATTCCGTGTTTTGTCCGTCTTTGAGGTCGGTTCTCCCAAACTGGATTCCCTTAAAGAATACAGTTGGGCCAGTCCAAAAATCAAGCTGTCCAACTTTCTAGAAGATTCCCTTGCAAAGAAGGTGGTTTTTGGATGTGTCCTTTAAGCAAGCCTGCCAAACATGCCTACCACGAGCCCCAGATGAGAGCCCAGGAGTAACCCCTCGTTAATCAACAAGTGTCCCGATATAGAGGACGCAGATTCTCCACATTCCTCCACTTTCGGGGATGTCGAAATCCCCCTGATTTCTAGAAGGTTTTGAGTGCGGTGTCAATAGTACAGGAAACAGCTCATGGAGTATTGACCAACCAGGATGACCACAGCACTTGTGACGTGTGATGAGATATCGTATAACTGCTTCCGATACTAGATGCCACACTCAAAGGGGCTGGCCGCCTCTGATCGGTGGCTGTTCTGAAATCTAAAATGAACACTGCCTCTGAGAAAAAGAAGCGCTGAGAGATAAAACTAAAGCTTGCGCCCCCCCCCCCACCCCACACCCCAATTTATTTGGATTCTTCAGGAAAAATGAAACCCAACACAGGGCAGTGGGCAGGCAGTGGCCTGCCTCGGTGCTCTCGTGGCGGCGCACCAGGCAGCGACCTTCCTCGACACCCGCGGGGCAAATTTGGCTGCCCGCAAACTTTGCGCCGATTGACTGTTGGGGGGGGGGCTGCCCGCGTGGTCCATTTGAGTCATAATCCAAACATCCAAACCCGGTAAAGTAGTCCACCCGGAACCATGTAAAGAACTAACCAGGCGGCGCTCATTTTTGGTTGAGATTATCCCTTACTAATTACTAACCTTCGTCTACACGTGTTTGATTGCGGCTCATTTTGCAACCACCTAGGTAGTTATACAGTCACACCCAAGCCACAGCGCCACGTGTGTCAGAAGAGGAGGTCCTCTGTGTTTGGGCTTGCAGACTCGACTCGGAGTATCCAATGAATAACTAAAAGAGGTCGGGATCTGTCCAGGTCCCTTAGTGCTGCAAGCAGCACTAAGGGACCTGGACAAGAGACATGCCCTTTCTGTTGGGGGAAGCACGCGACTTTGAGGGCCGGAGCCCCCCAAGTTTGGGGGCACTGTCCGCCCAGACTGGGTGGTCTTTTTGAGGCTACCCCTTTCAAAGTTCGTTCAAGTCTAGCAAGAAGAAAGGCGTCATTTTTGTTTGGGGAGTTGAGTCTGTCTCTTTTTGAGGGAACCCTTTTCGGGTTGCATGGCTAAATGGGAAACCAAAAGAAAACCACTATGGCAAGGTTCCCCAATAAGACAAACCCATCTTCAAGAAGCGATGAGGCCCGCCTTGTGCGTCTCCGAGGAGTTGAAGTACGTGGACATACCTCGAACGTGGAGTGCATTTCAGCGTCGCGTTGCGCGTCACTGACGAGAAGTCGCTTTCTTCCCCCGTCCCCAATACAAAAAATACGAGTAGCTTGTTACCTGCTTAGTGTGAAAAAGTGTTTCTCCAAAAAAGTTCAAAAAGATCCAACCAAGAGCACCTGAGAAAATGTTTCCAGAACGAACATGGCGAGTGATAAGCACACCCGGGTACACTTTAAGCTGGCCTGCATTTAAGAAGCTTACAGTCTTACAAGCATGTGTTTTGCAAAAAGAATCTGCAAATGTTCGTGTAAAATCAAGGTAACAATGATGAATAAGTCGTAATGAGCAGGCGTTGATGTTCGTGTAAAATCACGGTAACAAGGCTGCAAAGGTCGTAAGGAGCATGTAATGATGTTTGTGTACAACTGGTGAAAATGATGAATATGCGCTGATGTTCATGTAAATTTGCAGAAACAACACATCAGTAATATGTGACGGTGTTTGTGAATTCATGGGAAAACAACGGGTTCATGCTCATTTTAAACCAATGTACCTTGCTTCTACAAGTTGTCAAACATACGTGGCGATGTGAGTTTTTTGTGGTGCTAAGGGGGAAGCCTGTGGTGCACAGGGGGCAACACGTTGTGCGCAGGTTGGGGGAAGTCAAACTGAGCTGCAGCGCCTGTCTCGTCGTCCAAGCCGGCTGGCCAAGCTTCGACTTGCTTAGCACTGTTTCCCTGATTTTTCAGGTGACAGTTTCATCAGTTCGTTTGCTCATGACTTGTTCAGCATGGCTACCCCTTACTTAGCTGAGAGAAGTGCATCACGGTTTTGGTGGTGCAAAGGGGGGAAGCCACGGAATACAGCTGGACTTCTTCGCGTGGTGCAAAGGGGGAAAACTGCGGCATGCGTGGGAAATTATTGCGGTGCTGTTTACAGGCGGAATTGGCGCAAAGGGGGAAAACTGCAGCAGACACGGGGAATTCTTGTGCTGCAAACAAGGAAATCTGCAGTATACAAGGGCCATTCTTGTGGTGCAAAAGGGGTATACGTGGGAGATTCTTGTGGTGCAAAGGGGGAAAACTGCGGTACACAGGGGGGCAAATGGCGCAAATTGCGGTATACGTGGGAGATTCTTGTAACTGTGGTGTCAATCTGGTACAGGGGGAACGTACTGGGGGAATCCTTCTGGTGGAAAGGGGGAAATCTGCAGTATACAAGGGCTATTCTTGTGGTGCAAAGGGGGAAACTGCGGTATACCTGGGAGATTCTTGTTGTGCAAAGGGGGAAAACTGCGGTATACAGGGAGGCAAAGGTGGAAAACTGCGGTAGACGTGGGAGATTCTCGTGGTGCAAAGGGGGAAAACTGCGGTGTACAGGGGTGGCGCAAAGGGGGAAAATTGCGGTATACGTGGGAGTCCGTGGGAGATTGTTGTGGTGCAAGGGGGAAAATTGCGGTATACGTGGGAGATTCTTGTGGGGCAAAGAAGGAAAACTGCGGTACACAGGGAGAATTCTCGTGGAGCACAAGAATCGCCCTTGTGTACTGCAGATATTTCCCTCTTTGCACCAGAAGAATTCCCCGTGTCTGCTGCTTTTGCACCACAAGAATTCCGCTTGTATACAGCAGTTTTCCCCCTTGCACCACAAGAATCTCCCACGTTTACCGCAATTTCCCCCTTTGCACCACGAGAATTCTCTTTGTATACCGCAGTTTTCCTCTTTGCACAACAAGAATCTCCCACGTATTGCGCCACGAGAATTCCCCCTGTACACCGCAGTTTTCCCCCTTTGCACCACGAGAATCTCCCACGTCTACCGCAGTTTTCCCCCTTTGCACGACGAGAATTCTCCCTGTATACCGCAGTTTTCCCCCTTTGTGCCTGTACACCGCAGCTTTCCCCTTTGCACCACAAGACTCTCTCACGTATACCGCAATTTTCCCCCTTTGCGCCAGGAGAATTCTCCCTGTATGCCGCAGTTTGCCCCCTTTGCACCACGAGAATTCCGCCTGTATACAGCAGTTTTCCCCCTTTGCGCCACAAGAATCGCCCTTGTGTACTGCAGATATTTCCCTCTTTGCACCACGAGAATTCTCCCTGTGCGCTGCAGTTTTCCCCCCTTTGCACCACAAGAATCTCCCACGTATACCGCAGTTTCCCCCTTTGCACCACAAGAATAGCCCTTGTATACTGCAGATTTTTCCTTTGCACCACAAGAATTCCCCGTGTCTGCTGCAGTTTTCCACTTTTGCACCACAAGAATTCCGCCTGTATACAGCAGTTTTCCCCCTTTGCACCACAATAATTTCCAACGCTTACCGCAGTTTTCCCCCTTTGCACCACAAGAATAGCCCTTGTATACTGCAGATTTTTCCTTTGCACCACAAGAATTCCCCATGTCTGCTGCAGTTTTCCACTTTTGCACCACAAGAATTCCGCCTGTATACAGCAGCTTTCCCCCTTTGCACCACAATAATTTCCAACGCTTACCGCAGTTTTCCCCCTTTGCGCCACGCGAAGTCCAGCTGTATTCCGTGGTTTCCCCCCTTTGCACCACCAAAACTGTGATGCACAGGAGAATTCTTTCAGCCAAGTAACGGGTAGCCATGCTGAACAAGTCATGAGCAAACGAACTGATGAAACTGTCACCTGAAATATCAGGGTAACAGTGATAAGCAAGTCGAAGCTTGGCCAGCCTTAGCTTCGCGTTGCGTTCAAACTGGCTTGGACGAGACAGGCGCTGCAGCTCAGTTTGACTTCCCCCAACCTGCGCACAACGTGTTGCCCCCTGTGCACCACAGGCTTCCCCCTTAGCACCACAAAAAACTCACATCACCACGTTTGTTTGACAACTTGTAGAAGCAAGGTACATTGGTTTAAAATGAGCATGAACCCGTTGTTTTCCCATGATTTCACAAACACCGTCACATATTACTGATGTTTTGTTTCTGCAAATTTACATGAACATCAGCGCATATTCATCATTTTCACCAGTTGTGCACAAACATCATTACATGCTCCTTACGACCTTTGCAGCCTTGGTACCGTGATTCTACACAAACATCAACGCCTGCTCATTACGACTTATTCATCATTGTTACCTTGATCTTACACGAACATTTGCAGATCTTTTTGCAAAAAAACATGCTTGTAAGATTGTAAGCTTCTTAAATGCAGGCCAGTAAGTGGCTGGACAAGGACGTGCAGGGGGCGACACATGCTGAAGGGATACCAAGGTGGCCAAACAATGAATCTGTGCCGAGGTGCGAAAGCAAATCTGGAGACCCAAACCTTGAAAAGGCAGGGCAAGGTTTGCCTTCTGAACATGATGCGATTTGAGTTTGAGGTCGGACGGGATTTGTACCACACAAAATCTGTCCGGCCAGAGTATGCGGTTGCGTCCGAGGCGGGCTGCCTGTTTCGGTTGCCTTGTCTCTTGTCCAGTCAATCTATCACGATTTGCACCTCGGAAAAGCCGTGGATGGTTACAAACTCCACGCCTCTGGCACCAGTGGGATTAAACCGCCAATCGATCTGCCTGGTGCCGATCGATCTGGATTTTTGTGACAGAACTCCCAAGGTGCGATGGCCCGCCATTTTGAGGGTAGGTCCAAATCAGTCTTCGGGTGGCTGTTTTCTTTGGGGTTGCTCCGAACACTCAGTTTTGGCAATTGGCACAAGGGTAGGCAGGTTCTGGTAGAGGGAAACCACTGGAAACCAGATCTATTCTCAACCCTTGTTTAATCTTTTCGAGGCGAGCCACCCTGCATAACCTACCACTTTGGGGAGACTTTGCAAAAAAATAGCAACCTACCAACCTTGCAGGGCGACGACCACCCTTCCACCCCCGAGGGCCTTGATTGGAACCCCAAAGGTGACCTAAACCTTTTGAGGGCACAGGCATGTTTCCTGCACAGCCTCAAAGTTCTGAACATAGGACCCTTTGGATACCCTTGAAACTCATCAAATCGGAGGGTAGTCCTAGTTTCCCCACCTCCCAGGTCGACTCTCTTGAGAAGCGCCTAGGGAGAGGAAGTTGCAAATGTCCAGGTTGCTGACGCAGTTGCGGCCTAAACGTCCGGGAATCAGCCTTCTACCTTTTGACTACCCCCAAAAAGAGTTAAACCCAGCGGTGGTTGATTTCCCTAAAAGCAAAACCCCTGGTTTTAAGTGTACCTTGGGGTAGTCAAAAAGTACAACCCTGACGGGAACACGATTAGGGCCAGCGGGTGGAAATTGTCCATGCTCTGCGTCGTTTCCTCCGAAGAAAAAGGGGGAGGTGGCTTAAGACTTCAGAAAAGCCGTCTAAAAAGGGGAACGTACAACAAGGAAGCCACTTTACAAGGAGAAAGCCCTTTCGAGCAAGCCACTTTTAGGGTTTAGGGGGGAGAAAACCTCTGAGCATACAAGATTGGAAGCCCAGAGGTGTTTTTAATGAATGGTCTCTTGAATGATGTTCCGTTGGCCCCGCAGCATGCTCTTAGCAGTAGACAGACCACGATTGGATCTTCTGGACGAAGCTAATCTCCATTGGCAACATTGTGCTAGGTCGGAGGTCAAAGATTACGGTGTTCTAATTTTCTACTCCGTATAGATACTCATCCTAGGAAGTTTACAGATGAAGGAAGAATGAACGCGTGCAAGAAAACTTGTGTGGGCGTATGGCAGGGGAAAAGGAATCGGAAAAGAGTGACTCTCTGCACGT